GTATTTATGATGTAAGATGGGGAATTATTGTTTGCTTTTCTGCAAAATTAACATGAAATCACAAACTGCCAATGAAGTACTTAAATTTAGTGAATTTAGTATAGCTATTTTTTTGTTTCCTGTAAAAACCAAAGGTAGTTTCCAGTGTACCTACCTTTAAGTAGCCTTAAGTGTGCCTACCTTTGCAGCTAAATAAATAAATTATATCAAAATTCTGTTTAATTGCAGGGGTTTTATGCCTTTAGTTGCGGGCATATCGGAAAATGTTGCCAAAGTGACTTAACCTAAGGTTTATTATCAGGATGGTAAAAACAAACCGGAATGCACTCATCCAAAAGTGGATTTCTTTTGTCTTAACCCCAACCTTGAATCACTCTAAGAGGTATTTAACTGATCAGCTGTTATCTGATCCTTGTTCGGTTTACAAGTTTAAAAGTGCAGTTAAATATAAGTTTAGCCATGCACTGAGCTTAGTGAAGGAAAGCCAGCAGTCTTATCCCTGTCAGCTTGCTTTCTTTTTGCAGTCTTTGTCCCTCCATCGTGACTCTTTTTCCAAACTCTCTCTTCTCTCCAAACATGGCCAAATTACCTTCTGGCTAAGAAGTGTGCTTCTCAGAAAAGACCAGTAAACAAGGTTTTGTCAGTGTTATTAACTGTTTGGAGGGAGGCGTGCCTTTCTTGAACTGATGTTTTTGGAGGGACTTTAACAACAGAAAGTTAATGCCATGTTTAACGTGTGCATGTTAGTTGAATAAATGTGCTTTGCTGATAATCAAAGGCATCTTGTTTAAACAACTGGATTCCTTAAGGCTGAGTGAGGTCTGTATTTCAGTCAACTGTGGAAGGTACGCTTCACATAAAAGATAACATAGTGATAACAAATTGATGAGACAATCAGATGACATTTATTATCATTGCTACATTGCATTTGGGGGTGGGGGTGGACCAAGCACCAGCAAGAATGGGAAATTTAAAAAAAAATCTCATGCAAGCTTTAGTTCAAAATTTTTCATTTTGCATCTGTTGCTGACACAAGAGCTTTCATAATATATTGTTTAATTTTTAGTTATGCATTTCATAGTAATGCACTGAGGAAGTCAACAATTTGCATCCATGATATCATTAAAATGTCAACATAGTGTTGGGGCCAGTGCCACCCCAGAACCCCCATTAGCTCCGCCCCTGGTACTGCTGCAGCTGAGAAACACAGGCCATATCAATTAACAGCAAAATGTTTCTCACAGTAAAAAAGATACAATAAACAAATCAGATGCAGAACAGCTCTGTGTAACTTGGTCCCTCTTTTTCTTGCAGGCGAGCACTGTGAGATTAATGCATCATCAGACCGCTGTGTACCAGGTGTGTGCAAGAATGGTGGTACGTGCATCAACCGGCTGGCAGGTGGTTTCATGTGCGAGTGTCCACCCGGGGAGTATGAGAAGCCCTACTGTGAGATGACCACCCGCAGCTTTCCTGGACAGTCCTTCATCACCTTCAGAGGCCTGCGGCAAAGGTTCCACTTCACCGTCTCCTTCATGTAAGTTTGGTATCTTTTGTGTCTACCTCTTTGCTTACTAATCACCACTACACCTGTCAAGATTACAGTTCTTTTATGGCACACATACAGTTTATTATGGGAGCATGGTTGCCAACTCTCACATCTGGCATATAAAACACACTTTTACCTTCAGTCTCACGCTCTAGTGCTGCACAAGGAGATCTCATGATAAGAGGAAGCCTAAAAAGCCACACCTTTATGAAAAAACAAACAAACAAACAAAGGGTTTGTCATGTGCGCAGAAAAGTTTGTTTAACCAAAGTGAGTGTTTCACCTTTTAGCACCAAAAGTGGTCCAAAAATATCAG